TTAAATACTATGTACTAGTATACTAAGTAGTTAGGTAGGTACGTCGTTATTAGTAGTTAGTTAGTTAGTACGTACTACTTATAACTACACATACTATATATATATATATATATATATATATACCATGTTTAGGTGGTTTTCCCTTTTTACTTTTGCTCCATCTTCCATTTTCCAGTAACAAAGCCAAGGTTTGAGAAAACAGAGCGGTGATCTAGATCAAGCACTTCAAAAGTCATGTGAGATATGTGGATCAATTATATCGGAAGGATTAATGCGTTTTGGCCCAAAAAAATTCAAAAAATATTAAAATATTTTTAAATAGTATTTTTTGAGTTTCTAAATTTTTTGGGAGTGATGCATTATGCATTTTTATTATTTTGTGAAAATACATGAATATTGAGTCATTGTTTTTCTGTCTGGATGTCCGTTAGTCATCCATTCATATTACCGAAAAAATAATTAAATACAAGATAAAAAATACTACAATATTAAAAGAAAAAAATAACATTATAAGAAAAAAGAATAAAATTCTAAAACCGACACTTTTCCCTTGAAATTTGTAAAGTCACGAGATAATTTTGAAGATAATTAAAAGTAGAAAAAAATACTTGTTCCCACACCATGTGTGTCTAGAGTCCATATTCATCAAAAGACCTAATTTTATTTATCAAAATAAGTTTTTTTTTTTTAAAAATCTATTTCTCAAAAACCCCTAAATTTGAGTAACATTTCGAGCAAAAATCGACTAACAATCTTCTGTAGATCCAGAAAATCAACACACATATTACGTAAAAGCTTCAATTCACTTTCAAACGCAAAAAATTGCAGCAAAAATGATTCAATTTTGAATATTAAATTGATAAAATGATAGATGTTCATAACCCTAGACTTTTCATCACAAGCGAGCAAGAAAACATTTGTAGAAAGAAAACTAAATAATGCATAAATTTATCTAATTTATTTGAGAGAAGAAGCTTTGGTGATAAAAAACCACAACTCAATTTGATCCAAAACGAGCTTTAAATTTATTGGGATATTCAATTTTGGATCGAAGTCATGTTTTTCAGCAGCAATGTTTTGAGCAAAAATCAGTCTATAATCTTAGATAGATCGAACAAATCACCACACATATTAGGTAAAGGCTTTGATTCTCTTTCAAATACATCGTATTTCAACAAAAAAAAGGGTTGATATTAAAAATTAAAATCGATAAAATGACGGATTTTTTTAGAACCCTAAACTTTTCATCCCATGTGAGCAAGAAAATATTCATAGAAAAAATTACTAAATGATAAATAAATTTACCTAATTTATTTGAGAGAAGAAATCTTGATGATAAAAAACCACAACTCAATTTGATCCAAGACGAGCTATAAATCGATCGGAATCTTCAATTTTGAATAAGGGTCATGTTTTTTAGCAGTAACGTTTTAAGCAAAAATCGACCCACAATCTTCGGTAGATAGAACAAATCAACACGTATATTATGTAAAAGCTTCGGGTCTTTTTGAAGCACACCAAATTGCAAAAAAAATGATAGGATATTGATAATTAAATCGATAAAATGACAAATTTCAGAAGCCATGAAAAAACAGCACAATTGATTTAAATTTTTACTTCTTTTTTTTTTGTGAATGTTGGATTCCCAAAACCTGTTTTGTAGCTATATTATATTGATTTCAATCATTAATTTATCAAAAAATGCTAAAATATGCCAAAAAAGACTATAGAAAAGCCTGAAAAAAGCATCAACCCGTAACCCAAATGTGTATTATTGTCTCAACGTTTTGATTCGGCAGTTAGTAGAATCCACGATCTAGGTAGGGGATCGGGTGATTTCGGATATATTTGAAGATCCAAATCGTCTAGTTAAAAATTCGAGCTGGATGAAACGACTCTAATCCCGATCGTCGAATTTTTAAACCTTGGCCAAACGGGGAAGCATAAAAATGCTTCCCCTACATTATAGAAGTTCTATCTTTTCCCAACTTTTTAACCATCGATTTAAAATGGATGGTTGAAAATCATTCACCCAAGTTGTCGTACGAAACTCGGCACGGGCTCAATTGGTAACCCAAAGACCAATAGCCCGTAGTAGAGAGAGAAAGTTTAATGGAGAAGAGAGAAGACACGCGAAACAGATAAACCAATGAGAGAGAAAGAGAGTACGCATAGGTAAAAGTGGAAGAGAGGGGGCTTCTTGGAGGAGAGAGTGAGCATCCAATGCAGACAAATTAGTGATATAGAAAGAGAGAGCATGCAGTAGAGAAACCAAATTGAAAAAGCCTCGTTTGTTGATGAAGCAATAGAGAGGTCCTAGTCTCAGGTACCCTTTGTTTTTTTCAGTAGAAAACCAGGTCTAAAGAGAGAAAATTCACGGGAACAAAAAGCGTTAATAATGAAAATGGAGTTTCAAAGGGTGTCCCCCTCGTAATCACTTATTCAATCTCCATGAATGCAAGGGTCTTAGTTTGGGCTCTAGACCAGTTCTTGTTTGGGCCTAAAGACATCAGGATCATAACCCAAGCTTCTCTCTTAGGTCCGCTCCGTTATGGTTTTCTGGTCTTTTCCCCGCTTGAGGGGTCTTTTTCTCTCTTAACACACCCCTTTTTCTCATTACTTTTTTTTTTTTTGCAGCTTTCGGGTGGTGCAAAGGAGCCTAACAGCAGGATAAAACTCCTTTGGCTTTACCACAAATGGCACCTTCTTATTTCTTACGATGGGACCACACGTAGCGAAGTCTTCATATTGTTTTGCTCAGCTTCGGGCTCTATTGTGGGAATTTCTACGTCGGACCTGCATAAGTTGCAAAATAGTGATTAGTTGATGTATTATTTCAAATTCACGAGATAATATGGAAGTATAACAATATTACATTATAATTGTAAGCATTGTTATAATTTTACTCTTGAGTTCGCAAAGAAGAGTTTGATTAAATAATTCATTGAGATAAACAACCATCATTCAATTAAAAAAAAAGCCAATTTAAAGGGGTGCCCTGTTTTTTCTTTATCTTTTCCTTTTTATTTTATAATTAGTATATAACCGGCATCATCAATAGCAATAGATGGAAAGGCTATCGATATGTGATCATTTATGCTACAAATCATGCACCATATTCTCCAATGCACAATTCCAAAAACAAAAATACTTTCATATTGTATAGATGATGGACATGGATAGTGCACAAGGAAACAGAGAGACAACTGAGCCAAAGTACAAAATATAAAGAAGAATTTAACAAATGAAAATATGATGGCACCAAGCTTTCAAAAGTTACAGTATACTTGGAACGCAAATAAATCATGAATGATGTGGGGGTACAATTACAGAAACAAAAACAATAAGCAAAAGTCCAGAAGCTTCTAGCAGGCTAGATTGAAGGCTGATTCGCAGTACTCAAGTAAGTATTTTGTTATCAATGAAGCAGGTCAAGTCTACAATTAAATCAGTTTGCTTGTCATGGTTCAGACTCAGTTCTGAATAATTTTTTGGTCTATATGATAAAAAATTGATGACGGAGGCATTTGGTGAAAAACAAAACCTGAGAGATAAATCTGAGGCTTGGGTATATGCAATCTACAAAGCAAAGACACTGGATATGATTAGGCAGTGAATTGAGCACTGAGCAAAGAAGAGAAAGGGTTTGAAGGGGACAACTGCACCTGAAACTGGGACCTCTGTATTACTTCATCAACAAACAAAGCTTCTTCAATCCGGTTTCTCTGCACTGTACACTGCATGCTCTCTCTTTCTATATCACTAATTTGTCTGCTCTGCGTGCTCTCTCTCTCCTCCAAGAAGCCCCCTCTCTCCCACTTTTACATTTGCGTACTCTTTTTCTCTCTCACTGGTTTATCTGCTGTGCGTGCCATCTCTCTCCTCCAAAAAACTCTCTCTCTCTCTCTACTACGGGCTATTGGTCTTTTGGGTTACCGGTTGAGCCCGTGCCGAGTTTCCTGTGACAACTGGGTGAACGAATCTCAACCATCCATACATTAAATCAACGGTTAAAAAAAAAAGTGGGGAGGATTGCACTTCTGTGCTGTAAGGGAAGCATAGACAAAAACCTGGCGCCCAAGTTTTTCCAAACGCAATATTAGAACCCTAAACCCCTTTGACAAGGGTGTTTCTGTCCACTTTCCCGCTTCGAATACAATCTTGATCCTCAAATGGAGAGACCCCATTCCTATGAGATTCAAATTTGAATAGAACCCTGATTCTCTCTATAGAGGAACCACCATTTCATCAGTGAAGATCCCCATTTCTTCACTTTGATTCCATAAAAAACCAGAAGAAACACACCATGAGTTACAGGCGTGTTTCTTCACGAATTAACCAACTTCTTCGCCTCACTTCGTCATCTTCTTCCATTGAAAGGTTCCAGAAATCATCTTCCCCTCCTTTTTCGATTAACAGAAGTTACTCACACATGAGCAATGGCTCCGGGCTTGGAAGTCTCTTTAGGCCCGAACCATGGCTTCTTCGTGGTCAATCAACTGCCTCTGCCTCTGGTTTAGTTTTTTTTCCTAGGTTTTCTAGCACAGTGGGTGGTGGCTCCAATAAGATTGAATACATGGAAGATGTTGCAGAGGTGTTTGTGGAGAGTACTATGGAAGCAGCTGCTCAAGCACCGGCTGTGAGTGAGGTTGCAGTGGCAGCTGCTGATTCGTATCTTCCTGTTGCGGCCTTGCAATATGTGATCGATTGGGTTCATACCTTTACTGGATTGAACTGGTAATCATGTAGCTGCATGTTTAAAATATAAATTTGGCCATTTCATGAACACATAATTTGATGTTGCTGTTGAGCATAATTCTTTGGGTGAGTGATATATGAGTGTCCGGAGTTTTTGTTTTTCCTAGCTATCCCTCAGATTATTATGTGGTTTTGCAATTCAGAATCTTTTTACTGAACTTATGGAGTTGTAGAGACTTGGGTTTTAGAGATTGTGGCACAGCTATCTTGTGGTTATAGAGTTTTTGTGGTTATATTTGAAAATCATTGGTCTTATGTATTTGGGGTTTTATTAAGAGATCCTGGGCTGTAGGGCAAGTTCTATAAGGCAGATGGGATAGAATTCAAAATGCTTCCATTTAGGAAAATTTAAGTGTGACACGAATAGGCGATAAGATGAGAGAGAGTAGAGTTATGTGGGACGGCCATGTGTGGCGTAGGCCCAATACAACACCGGTTAGGAGATGCGGGTTAGTTCAAGTTGAAGGGGGTAGGCCAAAAGGACATAGATGGAAGTAGTGAGAAAATATATGAAGACTTCGGGCCTTACTAAGGTATGACCCCTAATAGAGCAGAATGGCGGATCAGGATTCGTAGCTGACCCCAATTAATTGGGAAAAGGCTATGACGATGATGATGTGAAAATCATGAGTCTTTCTCTTTCATTTTGTGATTATATAAATTTGGGTTTTATTAAGAGATCTTGGGGCTTCCATTTTGCAAATTTTTCATTTAAAAATCGCTTGTAATTTTGTGGTTGTAGAATTACTACAACTCGGGGTTTTATCAAGATGTGTTGGAGCTTCCACTTTTGCAAACTGTTTGGTTTTTATGAGTGGAGTGACGAGCAAATGGACACAGTTTTGCAAAAGAAGAAAACAAAAAAAGAAAAGAAAAGAAATCACGATGTACATTTCTTTAGAAGTTTGAACCTCGTCCTTTGCTTTGAAACTCTCTTTTACTTCTTCTTGGTGCATCTATTTGTTTCTATCAGAGCTTCATGTTATCGTAATATTGCTAACATTAGTGACTGGACCATATTGGCCTTGTGATATATACTGCCTCAATAATCCTTATGAATCTTGTATCTGCTATTAAAACGAAATGCCAGACAAACAGACAGAATGATTCGTACCAAATTAGGTACATGAGATGACAAATTCCAAAACCGATTTTTTGCTTACTTAACTTTATCTATATACAGAAACTGTCACTAATACCTTTTATAATGAGGCACTGGAGTTGTTCATGTATACACAGGTGGTATCTTATTCTCCTGATTTCATTAGTGAAATCCATTGGCATAAGGAATTATATTCATCCATAGAATTCACTGGCACATGGGGTAGTTATGTGATCCAAACCTAGTTTCTGATCTCTTTGAAACCTAAGTTATGATATTTTCAATTGTTGTGCAAGTCCTTATGGCCTTGCTGACCATTCTGTCATCCTCATTTAGTTGTTCCAAAAGGATATAAATATAAACTGTTCAATTATATTCTTTTGGCTGGTTTTTTATTGTTTTAAACACCTTGCTTGTATTATTTATTCATAAGAGTGATAGTTAACATTTCATGTGTTGAAACGTATACATCTAGTTGCTCATATTGTGGACAAATAGAGATGTACAACTTAAAAGAACAAACCAACCAACAGACCACCAAGGAGAGATTAAAATAGCAGATGGAGTGGAAGAGGTGGCGGAAAGGGTAAAAAGGGAATAAATAGTGGGTGTGGCCTGACACTAGTCGAATGTTACCTTCATGACCAAGGATTCCCTTCTCACTCCCTCGCAAGCCATTTTGTCAGCAGTGGCAAAAGGAGATATTTTCTGTTCACCTATCCGCTAGCCTCCCAAGGGAAGGGATTTAGCTCACTTAATAACATTGGAAAGGCAACCCCTATCATTAACCGGATAATATTTGAGTAAAAAAATTCAAGTTATAAAAGAAGAGCTCAGGCCTTTGTGGACTTGCAAAAGCCTGCAAGGCCATAGAATGACCTAAGAACCGGCTAGTTATCAAAAAAATGACTTAAGAGCTGGCTCAGTTCAATCCCTAGGATACCTGTGAACTTCTAGGCACCTCTTCTTAGGGGGCAAATCAAATGAGTACAGGTTGGTGGAGGGATCAAATGGCTAAAGGGTTAGGCTCTTCATGGACTTGATAACTACCTTTGAGAAAGTAACTGTGTGGCTCTGAAATGTAACGAGATCCAGAGTTCGGATTAATAAATGTTTTTTCTTACTCCCTTTTGGAGATATATTCTCTACATTGGAAGGTGGTGCTGCACATGCGATAAGTTTTGTGAAATGTTCCAAGAAAGGAGAAAAGCTGGTGGTTTTGTGTTGGATTAGATGAGTAAGTTGATGAGTTCGAGTAAGTTGATGAGTTCAATGAGGTGCTCAATGGCATTCATGTTTGGAAGGTGATAGGGATGATTCCTTGATTTGGGTTTTTCAATTTTTTTTGGTATTTTCTCTATCTTCTTTAAAGTTTTTCTGGGTGGAACCAAAGGAGTAGTGTTCTTCCTAGACTTTCGGTTGGAAAAAGCGTGGGGATGGAGGCTTCCTCAAGAATATCAGCCTTTTACACGTGTAGGCTAAAGGGTGAAGTTTTGACTGTTGGTAACATTCTTTTTGGGAAAATTGGACTATCCTCTAGAAATTACTCCACAACAAACCCTTGACTGAATTGGCATCATCATCAAAAACCCAACTATTTCTCATGCAAATCACCATGGAGTATATAATAATATGTTGTGATCTTGATTTCAGCCCTTTGGGGATCTTGATCCCAACCTTAACAAGAATATATAATCTAAAATAATATGTACTCCGTAAAATAAAAATCTCTTTATTTATAACCAGCAAGTAATGTAATTATATGAAAGTGTATTCGCATTACTCGCTGACTATAAATAAATAAAATCATCAGTTTGGTCGTTATCTTGGCCTTTAAGGTGGGGATCAAGATCTTTAGTAGTGGTTATCGAGATCCCTAACAATGCAATTGATATCCCAAAATTTAAAAATAGATATCCCTTGAAGATTCCTTTTTTGTAGTCCTGGAACGAGATTGTCGCTCAGGTTAAGAGATTTCAGCAACTATGGCCCTCTTTTAAAAAAAATTTAATATTTTTGGGGAAGTCCTTTTCTAATTATAGAACATACTCATAAGAAGATCAAGCTTGCCTTGGGAAGACGAATTTCTTGTTCCACTAGGCATTGCTTGATAACACTTGTAACAACTACCTACCTCTAACCAACCCAACGAACTCATGACACACAAGTACTGTTATGCAAGGGCTCATGGCGTTTTTTCTGGAGAGAGAAGTTGAATTTATATATATATATATATATATACAAGGGGCTCATGATTGCCCCATAAAAGCTAGCCAAGAAGCAGATAGAGTTAGAAGCTTATATAGGATTGCAAGCATGTCCTTCAAGGACAAGTCAAATCCAGCCAACAACGTTCAAGAAGGCAGCTTATGTAGTCCATAAAAGCTTCTAGTGCCTCAGATTTGTTTCTAATAAGGTAGACTTGGCCGAAACATGAATGATCATCTATGAAAGTTACAAGGTACCTCTTGTGATTGCGAGTCGACATTCGTGGGACCACAAATATCATTGAGAATGACATCTAATACACCTTCAGCCTTTATGATTTTGAAAATGGTTCTTGTGAACTTTTCCTTGAACACATGGTTAACGACTTTTTGAAAAATCACCTTTTAAATTTGTAAAACCCATCTCTAGCTCTTCATTTCCTTAGGATGTATATGTCCTAAACTCATGTGCCACAAGTAAGCATTATCATCACATTCATCATGAGCCTTGATATACACAAAATTAGATTTCATTGAATCAAAAATGACTTCAAAGAATTCATTATAGAGACCACAAAACCACTGGAACTTGAAAAAGGTCAAAAACTTGGCACGTGAAAGCCTAGACGCAGAGATAAGATTCTTCCTCATTTTGGTAGCATACAAACTTTTTGAGGACCACCAATTTGCTGTGAGGAAGACAGAGAACAGGGTCGCTACTCCAAGCACTTTGGTCTTTTGGTTGGTCCCAATAAAAACATGTTGTTCCCCAGAGGAAATGGCCTTAAAAGAGTGGAAACCATCTTTGGAGTTCGACACAAGTGCTGTAGACCTAGAATCAATATACTAAGATGACTATTGACTCGAAAAACACACAAGCAAACTCCTTAATATCATGGTTTGACTTGGGTGTGTAGCAGTTTCTTGGCCCTACAGTTTCTATCAATGTGCCAGGTTTTCCTCACCTATAACATTTCACAACTGTGTTTTTATTTGACCTAGACCTAGTAGATTATCCTGATGCTGCTCCTTGTTTTTATCATCATTATCCCTAGGTCCTAGCTTTTTTTTTGGACCGACTACTATTTGCTGAGCAATGATTACATACCGCATGTACCTCATATCATGGATCCAAGCTTCCCGTGCCTGCCGTTGCATTCTGCCGCTCCTCTCGACTTTTAATTGGGTAATAAGGTCATCCAACCTCAAAGAGGTTCCTTTAGCTGAAAGAGATCCAATGTGGATGCCCCCTAAGTCCCTCAACAAGTTCATCTTGCATACGAGGATAGGTTCTTCTAGCTTTATGCCTGTCATTTCCAGGTCTCGAACGGTGGCCTGAGAGACTTGATCCTGATGTGCAATTTTTATGTCTTCTTGCATCTTTAGACCTGTAGACTTATATAGGGCTAAAGGTCTCGAGGTGCGGGGGGGGTGCCCCAAAGTATACTTCCAATTTCTGGGGTATCTCTCTTGTATTACCAATTAACTCCCATTCGCTTGCATATGTGTTGGCCATTAAAGCTAGCTAGAGATGCTTTGTTGAGAGATTATCTTTGACCCACTTATTAGATATTTCTCTTGTAGAATCAGTGATATTAATTCGAGCTTCTTGGGTTCACGAAGTTGTTAAGATGAAGCTAAATCTCATCCTCATGTAGGACATATGTAGCACATCTTCATGGAACATGTAGGACATATGTAGCACATCTTCCTCTTCCATGAAAAATAATTTGTTTCATCAATTTTTCCGCCTTCAACATCTCAGCCATAAAATTCTTGTTTTATGCGAGGGAAGTGGCATTCCCAACGTTTTGATTTCCAACCCTTTGTTACAGATGTCTACCTTTCTTCTTCTGCTGTCCCTTATGCAACTCCACACACACTCACACACACACGCACACAGATGAAAAAGCAGAGAGAGATCGAGGAATGGAGGAAAGTGAGGCCATTGCTTTTGAAAATGGAGGAGAGAGGCAACGTATAGAGTAGAGAGTGGAAGATAAATGGGCAGCACGTGGCCCAAGAGCCAAAAGCTTGCATTTCCAAAACCTGATTACCGCAATGTCAACCTTTTTTCTTCATTTGAGATCCAAGTAGTTCTGTTTGGTGATTATTAGCTTTTTGGATCCCTATTTCTCATGGTTTAGGAAATTAATTTTTTTTATACCTTTATGTCCTTGTTTTCAACAAACTTGATCAATTTTTACTATTATAAGTTTATGCTAAGTGGGCCTGATTGGAATTTGGTTTGCTGATGCACCATAGATTCTGACTTTGTTCTAGGTGGGCAGCTATTGCTTTAACAACTCTTCTGATGCGTGGGGCTACAATTCCAATTTTAGTAAATCAGCTTAAGGCGACTTCAAAGCTTTCTGTAAGTTGTTTTATTTGCTCCTTGCATATATCCTTTTGAATTTTGTCTTCTCATATTGATTTGATGCATTGGTTGGCTATGATGTTATATCAGTTAATGATAGGCAAGTGAAACAAAGAAAAAGAAAAAAAAGTCCAACTTCGTACTCCCGATATTACATCAGATGTGATCATGATGAACTCAGATTGGTTATTGAGTTTCATCATCACTGCCAACTATGTCTCGCTGTCCACCACCACCACCACCAAAGCTGCCGTCATGATGATGATGCAAGCAAAGTTAGTGGGGGGGCTGCAATGCCCCCCTAAACCCTTTCCCTCGCTTTTTTATTTTTTGGGGGGCGGGGGGGAGGTGTGTGACACTTTTTGGCAGGAATGACACTGTTTGCCTTTGGCAGAGGGCATATTTCCTCCCTTCTGCTGAAGGTCACGGGGCGCCACCTTGGGCACCTAGGCATTGCGCCTGGGCTCTTATGCGGATGGGAAAGGCCTTTGGCTTCCGAGACAGCCAAGCAACAAACTTTTTAACACTGGATATGCTTAGAAATATCTCTAATGATCATGGAGGCTTATTGGAGTCCAATCTTATGATATATTTGCTTACTAAGGTGTTCATGGTCTTAATTTTTCCATGTGATCCATCGGCATCAATGCTGAGAAAGTCGGCTGCCCTGCTGCCCAGGTGGCTTGGCCTGACAATCTGCCTAGGCTTGGCATAGGCAGGAGGGTCTAGGCATACACCCGCTTAGTTGGGCTCAAGGCAGGGGCCTAGGGGGTTTGTGTGCCTGTCTAGTGCCACCCCCTTACAAAAATGTGAAGGCCTTATTTGAGGCCCTTTAACTCTCTCTCTCATGGGTCCATGTGCTCTCTCTAGATATAAGAAGAATAAGAAAATGGTCTCCAAGTGTTCGATGTGGGGCCTCTGTCTCTCACACTCACACACATACACAAAGAAAGACGCACATGGACCTATATGCTCTCTCTTTACATATAAGAAGAAGAAAAAAAGAAGAAGATGACCTCCGAGTATTCGATGCAAGGTCCCTCTCTCTCATAGTATCTCTCTCTCTCTCTCTTGCGACATATTTCAAGAAGAAAAACAAGAACGCCCTTGCAGTATTCAAGACCTCTCTCTCATAAACACGAATACATATGCTCTATAACTCTACTTACATATAAGAAATTTTTAAGCATTTCATGCCAGGACACACATGCACACGCGTACACAATATACACACACATGAAATATATACACACCCACACACAACATATCCTCCCCCCCGCCTTCCTTTCTTACGGCAGCTCAAGTATCTGGGTGACCGCTTAGCCACTTAGGCGGTTAGGGCCCTGGCTGCCTAGGCAGCCACCTCCTCTTTTGTTAACATTATCAGCATTCTTAACTGTTGAGGGAAATGTTTTTAGCTACCTTTGCTGCTATGTCTTTTCAAACTTTCTCTGTGTGTGTGTTTTGATTGGTAAGTTATATGATGTGTGTATGTATTTTCTTATTGGTAAGCTATATGATTTGTAGAGGGAATTCTTTAGTATGTTTAACTCGGTGTTTGCCTGCTCGAATTGGGCTGGTCAGTCGGCCATGGGCTGGTCCCGAGTAACTCGGAACCAGGTTGGTTAATCGGTCCGACTTGGGTAAGTGAAAATAATTTGGTTAAAATTGGTCAAGAACCCTAAATAGAAAAAGAAAAAAATCCAAAAAATATGGATTTTATGTATAGTTTGTTATTACTTACAATTATCTTGAATAAATAGAATTAATGAAAAATGACTATTGAAATGACATTTAATACAAATTTATTTATGAAGATTAGGTAGATATACAACAAGGTCTAAGAAGGGTGACGACCTTAAACTTTCCCTTAACCCATCCCATACCCGGGTAAAGGGGCTGGGTTGTGTTAGGTAGGCAGTCAACGTAAAATTTTGCTGAAATTTATCATTAATCCTGAAGGCGGATAAAGATTCATGTAGCCGACTCCAATTGATTGGGAAAAGGCTATGGTGATGATGATGAGGAGGTAGATATACAACACAGTTGAGAATTTGACATACATTAATTCAATGGAAGGAGTTACAAAGTGCAACTAATACTGACTAGTAGTAATAAGAGTGTTGATGGGGTTTGGGGTATTCTTGTGTCTCGTTATTAGGGTTCACTCTGTCAAAAATTTTAGTGAACCCTAGTGGAGTTTGTAGTTCCGCAACTGTGCCCCTTGCCAATTAAGAATATTTCCCATGGTACCCCTTTGGCCAAAGTTGCCAAACTAGTTCAGCCTTCGTACTCTCCCCAACCCTGACTTGCATTGTGGCCCTCGACAGCTTTATCATCGTTGTTGTTCTCAACAACTTGCTTACGGTGCTAGCTACAGTTACGTCTGTCCCTTAGCTAGTAGTTGTTATGCCTCGCTATTTGGTCTTCCTCCCAAACCCATCTCAATGCATTATCTACCTCTGTATCAGAAATCGTATCATGTTGTGGCCCCTCACAATCCTTCACAACTGGTTCTCACCAATAGTTTTCCATCGCCCCATCTGTTTCCTCGTTGCCTCGATCCTCATCTTCATTCTCGGCATAATCATCCTTGTCGGTGTCCATGTCCTCTATCACACTTCCTTCATTGGGTGTTGTGACGTCCGTGTCATCATCCATATAGGCAACTACTCCCCTAACATAACTATGATTTAATACTACAATGCTTTACAATACAATACTCATTGGTGAGGTCCCTTCGGAAGAGGGAATCTAGGTTTTGGCGTGTAGTTTGTGGGGGTCTTCTTTATTTTTCTCTCTCAATTTTAGGTTGTAGTGGATGTATACTAAGTTGTGCAGCATCTGAGTTTTTAACCTATTTCACCTAGGGGCGTGTATCCACTGGAATGTGCTCCAGTTTCTCTCACACCTTGAAGACGCGCAAGTTTAACTCAGTACTCTGAGTAAAATCTTTTGTAATTGCTTTGTTCAAATTCCATGTAGTGTCCACCATTGTGCTACCATAGACAAACATGAAATATTTAATAGTAGAAAAAGAATGATTTTAAAAAAACCTACAAATAGTAGTTTACTAGATTATAATAAGTAACCTAGGTGCAATTTTGGAGCTGCTTTTTTGGCATTGTTATATGAAAATTCACTAGATTTTTTCATGTATATAATAAGCTACAAAGAATAAGATTCGCAAATTTAGTACAACGAAGTAATGCAATTCGTTATTCTAAATTAAAACTTTTATTATGGACATTTATTGCTAAAGGCTTACCCATTTAACCAAATTTTTTTTACATGCCTGAGTCAGATCGGTTAATCGGCTCGGTTTCGTGTTACTTGGAATTGGCACATGGCCGGTTGATTGTCCCAGTTCGAGCATGCGAACACTGCCTTTGATAGAGAGAGAAGGGGAGGGACCCTATTGCCCCTAAGAGAGAAAATTGGGAGGGAGGGGGGGGGAGAGGAGAGAGAGTTACACTTACTTGAGTCCTCCCAAGAGCAATGAAAGAGAGGTCACAACTCGCAAGCTAGTTGATAAATCTAGAGAGCGGCGAGGGTTTTTATAGACCCTCGCGGGCTCACACAACAGAGGATGTCTATTATTGGAGGCTCCAATAATGGAGCTTAGGGATTCCTTGTAAAAATGGCAGGGGAATCTCTACTAATGGTAGGCACGCATTGCTTTAATTCAAATCCCTTTAATTCAAAATTTGATTTACAAATTTGAATTTCAAATTTGAAAATCGTGCGAGTGTCATTAAAAAAAAAAAAGGGGTGGAAACTGGCTGGTTTATGTTAAACCGGCCAATTATGATGTAAACCAACTGGTTTATTGACCACTCGGACGATTAAAAAACAAATAAAAGGACGGATTTGGTCTGGTCAGGTGGGGGTTCCACCCTTTAATCAGGCTCGGCCAGTGGATGAGTATGTGTAAATCGGCTGATTTCAGTTCAGACTGGCCGATTTGTCGAACACTGGTTTAACTTCAACAGGTTGTGTATACTTGAAATTGAAACCAGTGGTTTAAAAAATGGATCGGTACACCACATCAGGCATCCCAAAAACTCATTCGGATCGGTGAATCGACCGAGTCGGTTGGATTCAGCCTTGAAAAAAATCCAAAAAAATTATTAAAAATCATTATAAATGTTGTTTTTTAGATAATCCAATAAGAAATGTGGGTACTACATTAATAACTTTTATTTTTTTGCATCAATATACGAATATTGAGATGTTCTTTTCCTGTATGAAGATTCTCATCAAACATTTATTAAAACCTAACTAAATACAATATTATACATTGTAATTAGAATTATTGGTTTGTATGTTATTATTTTATCATCATTTTACTATACAAATAAGAATAAATTTGAAATTTATCTTATAATATCAACTAATTTAAATATCTAATTTACAACTATAAAAATAATAATATATTGCATAATTTATAAAGTAAATAAATTAATAAATAAAATATAAGATTTGATTATCATTGTAATTAGTATAATTATTAATTACAATATTATAGTAAACGTGATTCAAAAAACAAGGGTATGACTGTCACAAATAAATAAATCTAATGTATAATAATTAGTGTTGATAGAAATATAGAATTGAATAACATAAATTTGCAATCATATTTTAATAAAATTAAGAAATTAAATAAAGAAATTCATATTTGCAATATGGGATAATTGATAAAGCAACTTGAAATAAATTCTGAAGTGGTATGAGCTAGTGTTATTTTTTTCTCTTAAAATGTCCTATAAACTAGTATTTTTTTAATGTTCAATAAACCAGTATTAGTATTATTTTTTGCTTTTTTTAATATCCTATAAGCTAGTACTAATTTTTTTAATCCCAATTAGGCTATAGCATAATAGTATTGGTCTTTTTTTTTTTTGGATAAGTAAATTTAAATTTTTTTGTTGAAGGATAAGGGTGGTGGGCCCTATCAACCAATTATTATTTTTAATAATTTTCCTCCTCTTTCTCTCTCTTAATTTTTTTCAAAAAATCACTATAAATCTCTAAAAATAGTGTTCTTTTAGATTCTAAAAGAAATTAAGAGTGATGCATTATGTACTTTCATTATTTTGTAAAAATAGGTGCATACCGAGATGTTGTTTTCCCGTCTAGATGTCTGTATAATTATTAATTGTAATATGGTATTATAATATTAGATCAAAACAATTTAAAAATATTAGAAAACACTTCCATATTATAAGATTAAAAAATTAATTTCCTACATAAATTAATATCACATCAAAGTATTAAACATTTATTAATTTGTTTTACTCATCCAAAATTATTACAACCTAACTAACTGTAATAATATATATTGAAATTGAAGTTGTTGGTTTATAACTTTATATTTTATAATTATTTTACTATACAAATAAAAATATAAAATGTCTTAGAACATCATCTAAATTAAAAAATCTTATTTACAATTATAAGAAAAAATAATATATTACAAAATTTATAATATAAATAAATTAATAAATAAAATACAAGATTTAGTTATTAATAAATTAAAGAAATTCATATTTGCAATGTGGGATAATGGATAAAGCAACTTGAAATAAATTCTAAAGTAGTAAGAGTTACTGTTATTTTTTTCTCTTAAAATATCCTCTAGACTAATATTTTTTTTAATACTCAATAAACTATTATTAGTATTATTTTTTTGCTTTTTTTAATATCCTATGAGCTAGTACTAATTTTTTAATCCCAATAACCTTATTGATTATATATTAACCATATAATGAAATAATCCCATGAGATAATAGCCTAAGTTTTTATGTTTTTTTTTGGTAAGTAAATTTAAATTTTTTTGGTGAAAGATAGGGGTGATGAGCACCCAATGATTATTTTTAATAATTTTTTTCCTTTTTTTATCGTATAATTTAATTGCCACCATCGAGTGTACACCCTTATTCATGACGCGCCCATCCCAACCTAATAGGACACCCACGTAAGTCATCTCTCTCTTCAATTTACTTTTTATTAGATATGAAGTTTATTAGATTGCAAAAGTGTATTAGAGAATTGTCCCACATCGAAGGGATGTGGGAAGAAAAGGTCATATAAAACAATCGAACCAACTAACAACAATAAATATTAATGTTGCGGGGCCACGTGTAAGTGGGCTTCATGCATTCTGACGCAAGGTGGGGGCATGGCGTTCCTTCATGCATGCTGATGCAAGCAGTTGAGGATTTCATGCATGCTGACGCAAGGTGGGGCATGGCGTTCCGACACAAGCAGTTGAGGATTTCATGCATGCTGACGCAAGGTGGGGCATGGCGTTCCGACACAAGCAGTTGTGGATTTCATGCATTCTGACGCAAGGTGGGGCATGGCGTTCCTTCATGCATGCTAACGCAAGCAGTTGAGGGTTTAATTCATACGCCAGGTGGGGCACGATAATCCATGACATCATCAGGGCAATTCTAGGCAGAGAATCGTCCAAATCTCCTTTTTCTACACAATCCGGGACTGGCTGGACGATACCCGATCCGGATCGTCGGATTTCGGGTCGGATCGTCGATTTTTAAAACACTGATTGAAACAATGCTCTAGAGTCTTGAAGCGCAAACTTTAGTGCCAAACTAATAATGGACAAAGTTTGGGCCACAATTGTGTTTTTCATAAAAAGAAAAGAGTATTAGAAAAAGACTGTCATGGGCTGGGGGGTTTACACCCGCTCTATGTAGTTTGGGCTGTTCCTTTAAAGGTTGTCTTGAGGAATTCTGTTTTAAGGTAATAGAGAGATTAGCAGGTTGGGAGAGTGATGTTCTTTCAGGGGCCTCATCACCCCCTGAGAATGTCCGCTGGTAAGTCTCCCTGTTTTCTACATTTGGGGTACATGGAAAATTAAATATAGAAAATATTCAAAACCACCTATATTAATCTGTCGAGACTGAGTTACGAGTTAGGGATTGTGTGATGTTGTGGGTTCTTTGATTCAAACAATTGTCTGAGTTGGTGCAGTGGACCTAATTGAGAATGGATGTTGCGAGCACCATTAGAGATTGACCTAGCTGTTGCAACCCAGGCTAACAAAACTCAATTTACCTCGTAGAATCTACTCATCCTCAAGTTTTTCTAGGATGGGCATCTTAATTGCAGACAGCCTGAGTAGGACTCTTGAGACCTTCAACTGGTCAGGTGCTTTATGATTTTGGAGGAACGTGGATTACCTCTCTCTAGATAAACATATACAAACAGCATATACGGGCCACTTTGTCATTGAATTTCTCCATTTTTTTTCAGGAAAATCAAAACAAAGTTCAGTATGTCTTTGCCATTATCACTTACAAACACGGTCATGAATGCACCCTTGTTTTTGTCAGAGTTCTAGATGGATGCATGTAGCGCTCAAAGGCCCAGTTTCGGTGTCCTATGAGTAAACCACTCAGTGCCTTCAATCCACCATGAGCGGCCCTGCATATTGTTAGTGGATTAGAAAGAGATGTGACCTAGTTCCAAGTCACAGAAATGCGCACTATTTCAGGCTACTCATTAATTTGCATAGGAAGCCAAATGTGCCTTGTTGCCCATAGATGAGAAAGCCTCTATATTGTATGCCACCCATAATATAGTCACATTAAAAAACAAGCTATTAGATTGAGTGTTGGTTTAAATTTTATTATAGTTTTATTTCGAAGTTCTTATATATCTTTTCTGACCTTTTTTTTTTTTTTTTAAGTTACACATTGTATTAAGATCAATGAACGAAAAGTCGTCCACCCGACCACCTAGGCGGACTTTTGAAAAAAACGCCTAGGCATATTAAAGGTGGACACTATTAGGTGGGAGAAACTAGGCGCCTGCCTAGACGGTTGAAAAGGCGGGAAAAGGCAGCCGCCAAGGTGGCCTGTACGACTTTGGCAGAAAAAAAATTCGGGAGGGGGCAAAAAATGTCATTTTACTCCCTTAAAAAGGGGGATAAGGTTTTGGGGGGCCATTCTTGCCCCCAAAAACACTTTTAGTGAACCTTAGAGTGAGAAACAACTTGTAAAAAAAACTAGATTTGAAGATTTTTTGAGAGAATGAAATTTTTTTCGAAATCCTTGAATGCTCACGATATTAAAGGATATTCATCCCCGATCTTTTTTAGGCTTCTAGGGGTTGTAAAAGAGGAGATTTGGGGTTCCAACCATTTCGGTTTGGCCCGAAATCGAGTCCACTTCAAGAAGGTTGGTGTATTTCAACAGTTTTCATTAGGTTTTGTATTTCTTTTCCTTAATGTCTAATGATGTTATTATTTGCTATTTGTATTTTTTATTTGATACTTTGTGATATATATTTGATATGTTATTGTCTATTTAGATTATTATTTTATTAGTTAGTTTAATACTTGCTTAATTCTTAATTGCTCATTAAATAATTGCATGTGTAATGTGTTTTCTCGATTTATCATAAGCATAATTATTTTATTAGTTAGTTTAATATTTGCTTAATGCTTATTAAATAATTGCATGTGTGATAGTCTTTTTCGATTTTGTGTTATATCATTGCAATTTTTTATGTGTATGTTTTACCTAGATTTACTTTTGAAACTTTTGTAACTTGTGAGTAACTTGTGCTTTGTGAGATTTAAATGACATTTCTAGTTGATTTTATCTTTTAATGTTGCTTTTGAGTTATAATTCTTTCATTTACAGTCTAAAGTTGTAAATGTTTAGGTTTGATATGTACTTCCGGCTTCCGGCATCTTAACAATATATTATATACAAAACTTATTTATTAGATAATAAACAGACAATTCTATATACAATAACATGGGGGAGGTGCGAGGGATCCAAATTTTTTAAAACAAAAACACCGGCAGCCTCTGGGTCTAGGTACCCGCCTAGGTGGCCGCCTCCGACTTATTGAACATTGATTAAGATGAAGTATTCTTTAATTAAGATGAAGTAATCTTTTCTTTTCTTTTCTTACTAATTTTGTTGGTTCAGCTCTCTTTTTACATTGTTTGATTATTGAGTTCCTTCTATCATTATTAGACATTTCAAGAAAGTTTGGAATTTGGTTGCATTTTTAAATTATTTGTTACTGAAGTGATGTTGAGCTCTTGTGGTTTAAATGTGTATTTGCAGCTGATGAGGCCTCATATGGAAGAAATTAAAGAGCAGATGCAAAATGTATGAACGCGGTTTCTGCTATCTTTGGTATCGTTTGAAATTGATTAGACTATTAATGACTGTCCTACCTACTTGTTTCTTTTTTTATATGAATTAAGTCGATTGACTGTTGATCTGTTACAGACCTTGGATCCTAAAGTTACGGAGGAGGGGAGGCAGCGAATGAAGGACCTATTTAAGCAGTAAGCAACCCCTTAAGGTTATCTTTTCCTTTTCATTTGCTCAATATCTTGTCTGTGCCCATTCTCTGATAAATTACTATGTTACACACACTGGAACTAGTGATTGTTTAGTTTGGGTAGGTGAGCTTCTTTATAGAGTTCGAAACCCAAGTCCTTCTCCATGAACCAGGTGTTTCACTACTTGGCCAGAGGCTTGGTTGATCATACTGATTGTATGCCTTCACTTCTATCTTAACTCAGCTTTCTGGACATTGACTTTCCTTCTTTGTTACTAGTGTACTCTGTCAGTAATTATATTTTGTTGGCATAGACTAAAGTAGTATGATTTTGAATATTGACCCTTTGCTACGTGTGGAAGTTTTATAAATCGTTTATTGGATACTAACTTGCATTTGCCGTTTATTTAATCGCATGTGCCCTTTTTTTTTAAGTTGATAAAATATTTCTTCTTTTTTTTTCATTTCGTTTTAATTGATATTCATAGGTACGGAGTGACTCCCCTTACTCCATTTAAGGGAATTCTCATCCAAGGGCCCCTTTTCATCAGCTTTTACCTGGGTGTAAGATTTTAGTTTCCTAGTACCATCTCCTTTCGTTTTGTTTCTGAGTCGGTCTCAGTTTGACTAAGGCCTAAATTTTGATTTGTTCTTTTGGTCTTTCTTGTTTATATGCCGGCCCATCTTTGGTAATACAAAGTTGTGCTCTTTATGATTTTACTCCAGATTACAAATATGGTTGAGAAAGTACCATCTTTCAAAGAAGGCGGTGCTTTCTGGTTTGTTGATTTGACAACTCCTGACAATCTCTACATATTCCCAGTTTTGACTTCATTATCTTTCTTGGCAACTGTGGAGGTATGAGTCCTTTAATTTGATATTTATTTTTGCAAGCAAGTATGAAACACTATTGCATTGTATTAGGAAGTTGGTGTTACGTTTTGTGGGAAGTGGTACTTTGTGCACCTTTTTCTGTTCTTATGAAGCTATCATGGAAATTATTGATATCGCACTGCGGTATAATGCAATTTCTCCAAAAACACATGTCAAACATGTCAGAAAATTTTACCGCAATGTATATGAAATATTATAAAAAGAGAGTACCTTCCATTGCTAGAAAATAAACTGAAAGTTTGGATGGGGAACCAATGCTTTAAATTTGTATATTATGTGATGCATTATATTTTAGGAAAATGTTTACATATGGCTGGGCCCTAAACAATCAAATTAAGGCACACCTCAAAAAATCAGTAGAAGATAGTGCCCTAAACAATCAAATTAAGGCACATAAAAAAATGGACTTCAAGTCTAGAAAATTTGTTGAAAATAGTGCATCTTGGAATACATTATCTAGATCATCAATTTTCAAGATTTTCAAGTGTTCATAGATTTTCTTGAAATTTACTATTTTTGAAGCTAGAAATTTCATAATTAGAGATGAAAATAAATTTTTGATCCATCACAAAGACTTTCGGTGCTGAAACGACATCTTCACTACTATTTTAAGGTGTGCCTTACTATGATTGTTTAGGGCCTGAGCCTTCTACAAACTACACCCTACTTTTTATAGTTGCTCTGGTCTTGGACTTTAAAGATCTTCAATGGTAATTGCTGTGTTAAGTGGTCAACCATGGGGACTCTTTGTCACGTGTTTGAAACCCTGTTATGTGAGCAAATGTTTGGAGACGCTTGGTGCAGGTGCAAGAACTGTCCGTGCAGGAAAATTACGTACTTGCCAAAATAGATGAATTTCATCACAGAAAATTGATATTCAAGTAATATGTTCATTAGAATTGAGCTGCCAAAAATAAATCCAAGTATAACATGCGATATATGATAATATGATGGTATGTTTTCATGTTGTAGTAGTCAATCCTACCCAGAATATTTGGAAGTGGCCGGACTTTCCTAGTCCATCAAGTCAAAGATTACAATGACTTGTGACTCTTTAGAAGCTATCCTATATTGGCCTAACTTAGTTATGAAGGCGATGCATTATGTGGACCTGAATCAGCTGCTTACTATTTGAGTCCAGATGCCACAACTTGACTAATCACATTGGTGAGCATAGGTTTTAATTAGTTGATCCCAAATTCATGGAGTTACACTATCTCCTATCATGGAGAGAGGATTGAAGCATGCAAGATTATCAAATATGGCTAGGTTTTAATTGGGGGTTTGATTTGGCTAGCGTTACTTTTGATGTGGGCCATAAATATAAATTTAGGAAATTATAAAATTTATAAGGAAAAAAAAAAACATGATACATGGTCTACACAATTGTAGGCATTTTAAATTTGAGTATTTGTCCCTTATATATGTTAAGTTGATGTTAGATAGTAGGAGACCTTTTCGGCCTCTATTCTCTAATATAGTTAACATGTAAAATAAAATGATCTAATTCATTCAAATATCAAAGAAAAAAACACAAAACAAATATGTACTATACAAAGCACTTAAAAAATAAATTAGCAGCTAAGTTTATTGTAGCATACAGCCAAATACTATATACTTCACAAGTCCATTCAAGACCAGAAGTTCATGATATAAAAATTAAAGATGCTACACTTAATCTAACTCCAAATCATATGCATGTGCATCTCTTATTCTCCCACATCTGAAGCTAAGGCATCATTATTTGTGTCATCGCGCTCATGCACTATTAATTCTTCCTCCATTTTCCATCAGCCTCCTTGATCTTTGCAACTGATGTGGATTAAGCTCGTTCCTCTTCTTTTGTAGTCTAGTGTTACACCTAGGGTATTCATCAACTTTTGAAGCTAGTTCAACATCCAACCAAGTCTTCACCCTCAAAGACCAGCTCCACTTGTGGGTCTGTGGTCCATTCAATTGTGCCATCAGGTCCATCCAAGACAATGGGGTCTACATCCTTGTGCTTTTGGTAGCTCTCCTTAAGGCTTTTGTTATACCAGACAGGTACTAGATCATTGATTTCTTTTGCTTTAGCCTGTTCCTTCTTCTGCTATGGAGCTTTGATAAAAGAAAAATAAAAAAAGGGTTGCTTGACCAATGGCTAGTAAATTTTCTACAAATTAGATTCTACAATACCAAGCAGCAAGAGAAATACATGCTCAAATGTGCTCCAGTTGTGCCGCAACCTGATGAACTGCAAGTGAGGCTCAACATTCAAACGGTAAGATGTTGTTGATGTGGTGTCTCACTTCCAGAAGAAATATAACCCCCACTTAGCTCCAAATGTAATAATTTATCACAAAAGAAATCGAACTGAACAAACTACTCAACAATTTTGGTTTCTTTGTAATTCAAAATATGAATATTCACAATTTACACAATTTTGATTACCTGATTGTGTGTTATCCCTGTCTGGACAATGTTATTAGATGTGGCTGTGTCAAAGGAATGCTGCCAAAGGCCACTAAGGCGAGCTTGCAGGCATATGTGGGTGCATCACACAATGTGTTGCCAGTGTACGGACCTTCCTTGTGGGCCGAAATAATGCCCACAAGCAGGGGTAAAAAAAAGTCATAGCCCCAGGGGATTGGAATGGTTTGGGGGATGTTATATGACCCCCCTTAGAACTCCTTAGAATCAATCTTTCTTGGTTCAAAGGGGATCAAAACCAATATTTTGGAATAAAATATTTTTCTATTTTGAACATTTGGGGAACCATCGTTGATTTTTCTGATAACAAATTGAGTTCTTGTATTATTATTTGAAGAGTTTTAGACAAATATTTATTAAGTTATCTAGGGTTAAACACTGTTTATAAATGTAGATGTGCCTTGGCTACTTAGGTGGATGCCTCATAGGGAATTGAGGGGGTTGGTAGTTGTGATTGGATTTGCGTTTGATATCAGCTCCCCCTAATTATGATCCTTTTTTTTTAAACAGTTCTTTTAGTGTGATTTGTGCCCTTTTGTTGTGCTTAGTTAATATGGAATGTACTAAGGTGTAACTAAGCTTCGGTGCGCCCACTGTAGTCTAGTGCAAAAAAGGAGATGGACCGGGCAAGGTCTTCTGCTTGGGCCCTAGGTCTGTCTGATAAAGTGAATCTTTTCTCTACTTATCACCTCTATTCAATTATTTGATGTTTTCTCTTTAAATTTGGACATTGGCATATGGCATTTGTGACTTCCATTAGATATGGACTTATGGCATATTGGCATTTGATGAGTAATGGCTGCAACTTTCTATGGATTTTGGGCAACTTTCAACGTTGTAGTTTTTAGCATTTCAAATTCAAGTTTCAATCCAACTCATGTATAAATTTGGAATGGCACACTACAATAACATACAGAAGCCCTGAAAACTGAAAGAAGGGGTTTCTTCCTTCCCAAACCAAGGCATCCTTTGGAAGAAGGCAGAGGAAACTCGTAACCTCTTGTTCATTCACTGCAAGGTAGCCTCTCTCCCCTGGACTAAACTGTTGCAAAATTTCAATTGGTCCTGGGTAACTCCAACCTCCATAGAACAATTCTTCTCAGATTTCTTCTCTCTCCTATGCTTGGCAGCCGAACTGCTGCTCTGGGGGGCCTCCATTCTTTGCACCACCCTTTGGGTTATTTGGGGTGAAAGAAACTCTAGAATCTTCTGGTACAGAGAGAACCTTAAGTGCTACTATTGAACTGATGAGAGACTTGAAAATTTTTTGGGCCACAAATTTCAAAAGATTTGGTTACTTAATCAAATCGAATTGGAGGGCTCTTTTTGTTTCAAACCCATATGGTCTAACTTATGGATACCACCTAGCCCTGTTAACATCAATGTTGATGGTTGTTTGTTGGGGAACTCTGACTGCCCTAGCGTCTCCGGAGGAATGTTCAGAAACTCAAAGAGTGACATCATTCTCTCTTTCTTCGGTTACTTTGGTGTTGTGGAATCATCTACCCTCTGTAAAGGCTGCAAAATGTTCAACCTTGCATTCGGAAAAAAAAATTAACTGTCGAGGGGATTCCGAAAATGTCATTTTATGGGTGTCGACAGCGACCAAGTACCCTCAAAGACTTCCTCAGATTATTAATCACATCTTTCACCTATGCAGGCCTTGTCACGTCACCTTGTGACATACCTAAAGGAGGCCAATTCAGCGGATGACACAGTGCTGCCAAGGGATTGTAGCCACCTCTTTGTTGGTGGTGTGTGCTAGGATTTATATTTCAAAAACTGAGCATCTTTTATTGATTTCCCCTACGACACAAACCTTACATTCGCAACCACTTATACAGAAAAAAGGGGAAAAAAACACCCTTAGGCTAGCTTGGCTGCCATGTTCAAGAATAACAATGAGAGTATACATATAGTCAATGCTACGCAAAGTAAAATTCAGTAGAAAACTGACATAGGATCCTTATTTCACAAACTGTCCATGGGATTTCTCTGAAATTTTACTGGAAGAAAGTAGACTAAAAAACAAAGAAAATAGGCATGCTTTGCACCAGGGAAAGTTGTTGTCACGTGAAGAACTAGGGGGTTGAAAACAACTGATTTCTGCAGTAAAATTCAACAAACGGGTTTGTTGCCTAAGATTGCCCCTTAGGACTTCTTATATCTCTTATTGTTTCCCTAGACTGATGGGGCACCCAGATCAGAGAATGATATTTGTTCAAGGTTTTTGATGTTGAGTTGCAGAGGCACATCTTGAGGGAAGAAAGAGTAACAAAAGATGTATTACATCTCTCTCAAAAGCATCACCATAGAAAACCACCCTTTCCTCTTTTGGAATTAATGTACTGCCTTTTACTAGAAGTGGGAAACCTAAGGGGTGAGAGAGATTAGCTCTTAGCCCTCAATCCTTTGATCAGCCATCATTATCCAAGGGCTGTAATCACACTATGATCCCTAGTAGGAACCTTCCCAGAAATCTTCCGATTTGATAAGGATTGCACCTTCCTAGAAACTCAGGTAACCTAGGAGTCCGAATCCAATTAGATCTTGTCCTAAATAATCAAACCCTTCTTAAAAAATATTTCACAATCTCCTAGAATCTATAGGATCCAAGAATATCTAATATCCACCGCAATCTGAAAATTGTTTCATTTTGATTTTGGTCTCAAATTAAAATTATGAGTTGGTCACAACCCCCCGGGGGCACACGTGGGCACTAGCATCCGCACACCTAGTCGTCTAGGACTAGGCACGAGTTGCCATGTGGCACCCACTAGATTGGGCCCCACATGACCTGTAATGGTCCACCATATGGCCTACATGTGGTCACCTGTTTACGATATTGCCCTACCTAATGGTCAAAAACCAAAACTGAATAAAGCAAATTCCATTTTTTCCAATAAATCCACTTGTTTTTATTTCTTTTAAAAACAAATGTATATTTGCAGAAAAGTCCTTTTCTAAATAACAATTCATAACACAAGGTGACAATACTTTTCTTTTTCTTCTACAACATGAAAGAAACACAAGACAGATCTCACTGGAAGATTGCGCATTCCTTGGGAAGAAAAACTCCTTTTCGACTAGGCACTCCTAGATAACTCTCATAATCATTGCCTACCCCGAAACTAACCCATGACCCAGAATTACTCTCATGACATGATTTACCAATCAAAGCCAGCCAAGAAGCAAATCATAACAATTTCACCTAGAATTTCAGGTGTGCCCTCCAAGCACAAGTGATATCCAGCCAATTAATTTTGGTGATGACTTTTGCTGACCTATCTCAGGTACCAATACAGGTAGCCAAGGGTGTCTCCCCAGCACACACACCATCCCAAATCCAGGATTTTGTCCAATACTAGGCCTATGTGGAAGTCATGCATGTATGCTGTGAAGAATGTAACTGTCAAGGTTAAGGCCCTTGTCCTTGCAAGCTACATTCTGAACACAGTGGCTTATACATACACTGGCTAATGAACTTTTAACCACCGTTGGGCACAAGAAGAATTTATGAGGGCATATCCTTGAACCCACTTTTGCAGATGTGTCTTGGGATGAAAACCTAAACCTTTCCTATGGTGCAGATCAGACTATAAGCCTTGGCCATAGACCGCAATACTAAGGCTAGAGTCCCAGAGTGCACTAGCACACTCTACCAGCCACTCTAATTCTCATAGAGGTGCTGACTGAGCCTGCTTCAAAGATCCTGCTCATTATGATATGTCATAAATTGCTCTGACACAAAGAGCCCAATACTGCTACTAAACTGGGAATATTGCAAGAACATGAGTACTAAAAAATAATTGGGGTGCATGAAACAACCAAGAGCTGATGGCCTCTAAATGGCCACAAAACCAAGCACTCATCTTTTTTTTTGCTTCCTTGATTCCACTCCTCTTTCTCTCTCTCTCTCTCTCTCTCTCCTGTTTTGTACTCAGTTTGAAGGGTCCCCTCACATTCTGTCAGAAGCTGGATCTGCTCCAATGTACTTTTTTGCTACACTTGAATGGTAACTAGCTTATAGGCTGCCTTTGAGAACCCATTTCTTGTGTTTAGTTTTGAGAAATCTATTGTAGAATAAGAAATCCTTCTCAGTAATTTGGAAGTGCATTTATGTACCTATCATAATGAAGAGGGATTTCCTTCTACTTAAAAAATCAAATGTTGCATCAATCAGATTTTGTTTTAATTTCTCAATAAAGTTTTCAACTATATGGGCATTTAGTGCCTCTTGATGATGTGATTATGGTAACCAGATTAGTTTTATGAGCATGCTTCATTGAAATGTTAAATGCCTTGACGAATTTGTATGCAGTGGTCATTATAATAAAATCAGTGACTAAATTGCTTGGATGTTTCGTATTTCAGCTTAATATGCAAGAGGGAATGGAAGGAAATCCTATCGCTGGGACCATGAAAAACTTTTCCAGATTTATTGCTTTTGCTACAGTTCCAATTACCATGAGCTTTCCAAAGGTAACTTCAACTCACTGAAGGGAAACTGGCTAGGTCCAGGCATCTCTCACATATGCCTCCTTTTACATCTTACCCATCTTGTAGTTGTATGGCAAGGCACAGCGTAAGGGATGTAGATCAATAATGTTAGTTGATTTCAGTGGATATGCTTTTATCCATGGTTGAAAATTTGTGTCTGGAGTTGGTCATGTCATGTTCCTAGTTGATACGATAAACACTTGGGAGATTTGACACAATAACACTTGGATAGTCTCAAAGAGACTCGGTCAAGTCTTAAGATGGCCTATCAAGACTCAATCAGGTTTACAGATTTTCAGGACGCTGATATTAATAACCAAATTTGACATAGAATTTAATTATTTAAATATGACATAGATAAACACAATCAAATATCCTGTTAGAACAAAAATATTCAATAATTCTGCCAAGTTTGAGATTTCTATACTTCTAGTTGATGGTGTGATGTGGGCTCTTGAAATGCAGTGTATTGCAATTATACCTTGTCAGCCTTCAAAAGCATGGTTAAAGCTAGAATTTGCCTGTTCCTTGTGAAATAACATTCATTTCATACTATGGTTAAGCAAGAAATCACATGGTAATGGTTACATTGTACAGATTGGAAACTGTACAGGTATTAGTGTCCAGGCCTGGCCTCTTTCTATGAACTTAGCATTTGGATACATGATTTATACTTTGGGTGAGGTTTTGGCGTGCCTGCCGATGCACCGGTTATGTGTGCCCCCCCCTAGAATATATCTTAGAGATGGATTTTGGATCTAAAATTTCTGGGCTTAGTATTCTCGACCATTGTGATTATGAATCTGGGAAACTAAATAAATTTTTTTTTCGTTTTTGGTAACTTCTCTTTTGTGCAATTCATTCAGCTATTTTTGGAGCTGCAAAAAGATGGATCTATGGAAAAATTGTATTTCTAGTGATATAAGATGCATTTTACTTCCTAAATCCATGGAAAACCTAGGTGTATTAATGAGTCCAGGGGCTCATGGGAGTCTCTTCCTATACTTTTGTTTTATGGTTTTCAACATGAATATGGAGTGTCAATAAAAAGAATAATTGAGTATTGTTATAGTGTTTTTTAGTCTGCATTGAAATTGTTTTGAGTTTTAAACATGAATGTCCGGATGGATCCACTGCCACCTACAATATGTAGTTATAGGTTGTGGTAACAGTAAAGTTAGAAAGGCCACCACCACCGTCCAATCTGTATTCGACAGTTATAGTGTTACGCATCAAACACTTGACTAAATCAGCTGTATCATCCACTCTCCTACAGGCATCCAACCCATTCGTTTGATGGTGATGCCCTTATGGCCATTGTGTTACCCTTATCATGTGTGTCTTTTTTGCTTTTGCTTTGGTTGATCGGGCTACGTCATTCTTTCATGTGGCTAGCCACATTGGAAAACCGTAACTTGGATAATTTTTATATGACTTATCATGTGATTCATATCAACATATAAAAGATAAAATGGTATTTCTTCCTTTTTTGTCCAAAGTAATGGAATTGCAAATGAAACTGCAAATTACAGAAATAACTGGATCACCCTTATGTGACTAATGAAAAAATGTATGCCATTGAACTTTGCGTTATGTCCAAGTAATGTTGGTTTATGCTGACTCGCCTATGCCACTGCCAACAGGCCATATTCTGCTATTGGGTCACCTCAAATCTCTTCTCGCTAGTCTATGGGTTAGGTTAGTATTCCTCAAAAAGCCACTTACCACAATTTGTATGCAACCCATTATGGTTGAATACATGTTCCGTATGATGTTTAGGGAGAGTATACCATAGTCTTAGTGGACTGAGGTATATGGCACTCCAAGCTACATCCACTCTCTGTTCCTGCCGACCAGATTGTTGGAGTTTATTGTCTGACGAATGTCCCTGCAGGGTATCGACAGTGGATGATGCCTTGGGTACAATATACCATACTTTCCCTGTGTTACAATGTTTTGATTCGTTTGTCTTTCTTGGGTTCTTGAGGCTTTGTTCTGGACTAACAATCTACCTTTTTAACTCTTTGAGAGCAGTAATTAAACGCCCTCCTGTGAAGAAGTTCCTTGGCCTGCCTGATATGGTACCTGATGCTGCTGCTTCTAGAATAAACTTTCCCTTTTTCCAGACTCCAAGTGGAGGGCCGTCACCACCTGGTCCAGCACCATTTGAGACACAACCTTTCCCAGAAAAAAGAGTATCTTCATCTTCTGTTATTAGTCAGAGGATTAGGAATCTTGAGAGAACAGTGAAAGGGCGGAAGAAAAACAAGAAGAGGGCCAATTAAATAAGCGCATGGTAATGAGCACAAAACCAAAGGTAGGAATTGCTAGGATGTTTTTAAATCCTTGTGCTATAAAGTTATAAGCAGTTTTTTTGTCCCCTATTGCGGGTGGAGTGTAGGCTATTTGTTTCTAAATCATTCTAGCTCCCAAGGATGGTTCAATAACAAATTGCCTACGGTTCAGTTACATCAATTTATTTCATGTACTAATAGAATACCTTGCAGTTTAACATTGGCTCCACAATTTTGCTTGCTGCTTGTGATTGCTGAATCTGAGAGGCATTTTCTTGTTCTTATTTTGAAATTTTGTTGTTGAAGATTTTTTGGAATTTGAGATTGTCGGAGAAACCATATGTTATGTGAAAGTGACAGAAATTGTGGAATTCTTCTTATAATAAAATCCATTTATTGCTCGACTAAAACTGTATAGAGCACTCTTTTCATTCCAATGAACAATTACAAAAAAAAAGAAATTTGTAAATGCAATAATATTTTTTAGCCCAATTAACATATGCTGACCATTTTGATCAATGGAATAATTGTAACCACCCAATTTCACATCCACTGGTTAAGATTAATGTGATAACATTGTATCAAGGTAAATGGTCTCATTCCATACTTTCTCTCTATAT